ATAGGCGCCGAGCCTCTCTTTTTTTTTAATTTCAAAACATTAAGGGGGACAGAAATGTTTTTGTTACATGAATAACTTCTATAATGCTTTAGTCAGGGCTATAAGTGTGCCCATCACCCAAAGGGTGTTCATTGTACCCATTAGGTAGATTTTTACCCCTCCCCTCCTCCTCTCCCCCATTTCTTGAATTTCCAATGATTTTTATTTCTTTCTGTGTCTATCGCTGATTACTTCCAAATTATTAGAGAATATATGTGGTGTTGTTTTTCATTCTTGAGATATATCACTTAGTTTAATGATATCCAGTTCCATCCAGATTGCTGCAAAAGACATGAATTCATTTTTCTTTAGGGCTGAGTGGAACTCCATGGTTCCACTGAATCCACTCAGGAATTGATAGGCACTTGGGTTGATTCCACATCTTTGCAATTGTGAATTGGGCTGCAATAAACATTTGAGTGCAGGCGTCTTTTTGATAAAATGACTTCTTTCCCTTTGGTTAGATGCCCGGCTCTGGGATTGTGGGATCAAATGGTAGATCTGCCTTTAGTTCCTTGAGAAATCTCCATACCATTTCCGTAGAGATTGTACTAGTGTGCAGTCCCACTCACAACATTATTTCCCTCCTCCACATCCTGTTCCTTTCTCTTTCCCCCTGACAGAGGAGTTTCAAGGATTTTCTTGTCCCCTCTTTAACAGATTGTGAGATGTCTGAGGAGTTGTTGGGCTTGAAAGGGGAACTTTGGAATGGTGAGCAGAGAGGATCTAGGGCAGACCCGGGGGTCATGGCAGGGGTCAGGAGAAGGGTGGCTGCACAGACACCATACCTATTCCACACCCTCAGTGTCAAGCTTCATGAAAGAGTGTGAGGAGAAGCAGGAGAGCTGGCGCTCTGTCCAGCAGAGCATCATTGAGGTCAGGAAGAAAGTACAGAAGCTGGAGATGCAGCCAGCAGGTGCTGGAGCAGCCCTGTCCTCCACGTAGTGCATTTGTCTTGATGTCAGTTGCCAGCCTAGGGATGGAATCCTCCTGTGAGGATTCAGAGGTGGAGACAGCTGGGGTCCTGCCCTCCCAAAGCTCAGAGTTTGGAGGGGTGATGGATGCTGCCCTCTGAATTGCTTGGGAGCTGGGAATGGGCACCCCAAATACACAGGTTCTGCTGCACTCCAGGCTGGGGGTCAGGCAGGGAAGGAGCTTCCCGGGAAGATGGGGGCTTTGTATGAGGTTCCACTAGCTTCACTTTCTCAATTCACCCCCTCTGCAACAGAAATGAACAAAATCAACAGAAACATAGAAAAAAATCTTACAAGAGCTAGAGAAGAAGCCAGCTGCATGTAAGTTGGGACACAGGGTGGAGGATGAGGGTGGGGCCTTGGATTTGGCCCTGACTCCTCTTTCAGGGGCAGGATCTGCCTGACTTTGGGTCTCTCTCCCCAACCTTTCAGAGCCCCAGCCTCAACAAATGAGATGACATCATAGCCACAGCAATGGCTTAGAGGATGGGCTTGCACCTGCCAATGAAAACAGAAAGTGGGCTCGGCGCCTATAGCTCAACCGGCTAAGGCGCCAGCCATGTACACCTAAGGTGGCGGGTTCGAATCCCCAGCCCGGACCCGCCAAAACAACAATGATGGCTACAACCAAAAAAAATAGCCGGGTGTTGTGGCGGGCGCCTGTGGTCCCAGCTACTTGGGAGGCAGAGGCAGGAGACTCGCTTGAGCCCAGGAGTTGGAGGTTGCTGTGAGCTGTAATGCCATGGCACTCTACCCAGGGGGACAGCTTGAGGCTCTGTCTCAAAAAAAAAAAAAATAAAAAGAAAAGAAAAAAGAAAACAGGAAGCGGAGCCTGCAAGCCTAGTATGATCCTGCTCCTTGTCCCAAATACAGAAAATTATGTGTTGTGGTGAATAAGTATTGCAGAGCTGCTCTCCAGTGTGTGTGTGTGAGCACTTCAACGTGCCCCCAGGAATTCACATTCCTGGGTGACTATGAATGTTGGAGTCACAGTGAATGGTGTGCATGCTCATGTCACGTGACATGTGAGTATAGGCATATCACGGTGGGTGGCTGTGTCAGTGTCATTGTGAGTGTGGTGTTGGTGACATGCATGTGCCTGCCTCCTCCTCTGTGTAAACATGCATGAATGCCCTGTGGTATGTTGTGTGTATAAACACGTCATAGGGGAGAATGTGGTGCACACGCTATAAATGTGGGTGCTGTGGTGTGTCCCTTGTTGCTATCTGTGCCAGAGCAAATAGGTGTGTGTCATTCTGCATGTGCTCAATGGTGTCACCCTGTGTGTTCAGGTCACATACATGCACATGCATCTGTCCATTCAATGCTGTACTCACCTTTTGTGATTGGTGAAGATAAACAAATACAGCCAAAGGAAAACTACGTGGCTTTGGGATCTGTTATTTGGGCAACAAAGGGGTTTCAGAACTTGGAGGGAGGGAAGAGTCTACAAGTGCTTGGACTTGGGGACAGGACAGATGGGAGCCCTGAGACACCAGGGTGGGTGAGTACTTGTGTGTCCATGAATGTGGAGCTGAGTCCAGGTGCCCATGAGCACACGTGCTCCCTGAATGTGAGTGGCCTGAATCTACCATGTCTGCCTGAAGGCCCATGAGTGTAATTGTACCTGTGAATGTATTCGTGCCACTGAACACATATCCAAGGAGGTACATGACCCCAAATGTTCCATGCTAACAGCTTATGGACATACTTGAAACAAGAGAACATGTGCCCATGCACACAGATGTGCCTAGAGACAAGAGCACGTGTCCGTGCCCAAGGGCATACATGTGCCCTTGAGATGACAGATTATGTACCCACCGTCACACGCGTGCCCCTGAGCACGCATACTACTGTCTCTCTGATCACAGGCCACACGGAGATCAGCTATCTTTGCGAATCCCCGTGGCCCTCGGTCTGGCCTAGAGGACACGTGTGCCCCCTTGCGGCCGCCCACGGGCACCGCCGAGCTCCCCGCCCACCCACACGCCTGGCACGTCGCGAGCTTGCGCACGCCGCGCCTTTTACGGCGCCGTAAAGCAGCTCAACCGAGCCGACGGTCGCTGTTCTTGGTGAGACTCTGTCAGCCGACCCCTGCCGATGACCGGCCTGGTCAGCTCCCCGACCTCTCCCAGAGGACCTGTGGGGCCTAGGCCGGGGTCACGGCGTCCGTAGCCCCCAGTTCTCCGCCCCGGGATGCGACGGGGGTGGGGCTCTTCTCCGGTCCAGAGGTCCAGGGTGGGGGTTCTCGGGATCTTGGCCTTCGGCGGCTCTGCTCGCTCACCCACCCTCTTCTCAGCCCAGCGTGGGGGTCTCAACACTCCCCTTCTCATCTCGCGTTCTCTGGGCCCAGCTTCTCCGTGCTGCGGCCGCCCCCTGGCTCCCCTGGCTCCCCTGGCTCTGCTGCTCCCGCAGTTCGCTTCTCTCCGCTGGTCCTCCCCAATTCCCCGCCAGGCAGATCTCGCGGGGGCTGCCTCTGCAGCCCCAGAACGCTCTGGCCCGGTCCGTGCATGGTGGGAGCGGGGTTCTCAGCTCTTCCTGACCCGGCCACCGGACTGGGTGAGGATGGGGAGTATCTCAGTGCCCCGTCCCCAACGCCTCCCTACCACGACCAACAGCTGCAGCTTGTTGCTCTGGGATGGGAGGACCACTGCGCCCTCTCCTGGCTTCCCCAACTGCCCGGACTGACAGTCTCTAGTTTCTCACCCCGCCCTGCTACCTTTCTGTAGATAGATCATGGGTATGGTGGGATCTCCCAACGTCTTCTCTGGGCCTCTCCCAGCCTTTGCAAAGGACTGAAGTTTCCTGTGTGGCAAATCGGAGCTGCCTGAGAGGGATTGGGGTAGGGGTTCCCCAAGACTCCTGGCTTGCTTCATGAATCTTGCTTGTTCTCCATCCCGCCTGGCCTTTGGTCTGGATACACTCCTACCCCACCCACCCTAGCCTTACTCTGTCTTAATGTAGAGAGTGGGCAGAAAATTTCTTTAGGGTATCAGTGCTGGAGCGCATGGCAGAGGAGGGCAAATGCCTGTGTCCCTTCCCTGCCCTAGTTCTGATCCCTCTCCCTCCTTGCACTAGTTTCCTAGTTATTCCTACGGGAGGTGGAGGGGATACGAAGGTGAGGGTGGGGTGGTTTCCAGCACCCGCTTGTGGTGGCCCTCACGTCTTTTCTCCTACCTTACCCCCCAAACCCTCTCTCTTGCTGTGGCTGGAGTGTTTACCTGTAGCTTGGGTCTTTCTTTTCTTTGCCCTTATCTCTTCCCAGGTTGGGTCAGCGCTAGAGTGCACCCTGGTGGCGATGGCGAGGGGCTGGAGGAGGGTTGTCCTATGGCCCCTCTGGGGTTCCCGCCACGTTTCCCTCCTATTCTCCTTGACACCCTGGTTTCCTCGTGTTCTCCGCAGGGTGGCGGTATGGAGGCGCGCTTCACGCGCGGGAAGTCGGTGCTTCTAGAGCGCGCGCTGGCGCGGCCACGCACCGAAGTGAGCCTAAGTGCCTTTGCGTTGCTCTTCTCCGAGCTGGTGCAGCACTGTCAGAGCCGTGTCTTCTCCGTGGCTGAGCTACAGGCGCGCCTAGCTGCGCTGGGCCGCCAGGTGGGCGCTCGCGTGCTAGATGCGTTGGTAGCACGCGAAAAGGGTGCTCGGCGTGAGACCAAGGTTTTGGGCGCACTCCTCTTCGTCAAGGGCGCGGTGTGGAAGGCGCTCTTTGGCAAGGAGGCCGACAAGCTGGAGCAGGCCAACGATGACGCTCGCACCTTTTACATCATCGAGCGCGAGCCGCTTATCAACACCTACATCTCTGTGCCCAAGGAGAACAGCACGCTTAACTGTGCCAGCTTTACGGCAGGCATTGTGGAGGCTGTGCTCACACACAGTGGCTTCCCTGCCAAGGTCACAGCACACTGGCACAAGGGCACCACTCTCATGATCAAGTTCGAGGAGGCAGTCATTGCCCGAGACCGGGCCTTGGAGGGCCGCTGACCCTATGGGGGATAAAGGATGCAGATTACTCCCTCTACTAGTGTGTCTGTGTCTTGTGTGGGGGCCTCAGAAATTCACTGGACACCTTGAGGAAGGGGTGCTGTCTGGCCAAAGTGGTCCTTTCAGATGGGGCTGGGAGTGGGGTGAGGCCAGAGGTGGTGGGGAGATGAACCAGGCAGGAGCTGGTGGGCAATACTGGCACCTCCTGGAACCACAGTTGGAGATTGTCTGGGAGAAATCCTGGTAGAGGGTTTAGCGTAAAACAGCATTAGACACTGGCTGGCAAAAGTTATAGTTCATGCCATCTGGTCTTTTGGGCCTTTTTTTTCCCCAAATAGAGATACTCTCTTGCCCAGACTGGGTGCAGTGGTGTAGTAATAGCTCACTGCAACCTCATATTCCTGGGCTCAAGTGATCTTCTGACCTTGTCCTCCCAAGTAGCTGTAACTACAGGTGCTTTTCACCTGTAGTTGAAGTATATGACTAATGTTTTCTCTTTTTGTAGATACAGGGTCTTGCTGTATTTCCCAGGCTGGTCCCCAACTCCTGGCCTCAAGTGATCTTCCTGTCTTGGCCTCCCAAAGTGCTCATTACAGGCATGAGCTGTCATGCCCTGCCTTGTCCAACTTCTCTGTTTTGCTGATGTATCCAAAGCAGCTGCAGACAGTATGTATAAAAGTAGGCCTGGCTGTGCCTATGAAATAAGTGGTTGTCTTTCTCTCTCCTTTACACCTTGGCTACTCATAAGTGTGGTCCTGGGACCAGCTTCAGCATCACTTGGGAGCTTGTCAGAAACAGAATCTTAGCCCTTACCAGAACTGCTGGGTCCAAGTCTGTATTTTAGGAAGATACCCAGGGTATCTTTGTACTTGAGATGCAGTGCTTGAGATGCAGTGCTTTAGAGGCCTGTTCTATCTCAGGTGGCAGGACCTCACCCCAAGGGTTGCAGATTCTGCAGTTTTGGGGTGTGCCTGAGAATTTTCATTTTAAGTAAGTTCCTAGGAGATAGTGATGCTCAGGGATCACACCTTGAGAATTATGGCTCTAGTGACTTGCCTCTCAAAAGGGAAGAATCCAGAATTGTCTGGCTGCTTAAAATATTTTAAAGTTAATTCTAAAATACAAGTATATGTTTTTGTTGTTAAAAAATTAAAATATGGGCTCAGTGTCTGTAGCTCAGCAGCTAGGGCACCAGCCACATACACCGGAGCTGGCGGGTTCAAATCCAGCCCAGGCGTGCTAAACAACAACAGCTACAACCAAAAAAAGCTAGGTGTTGTGTAGATAGGCGCCTGTAGTCCAGTTTCTTGGGAGGCTGAGGCAAAAGAATCACTTAAGCCCAAGAGTTAGAGTTTGCTGTGAGCTGTGATGCAACAGCACTCTACTGAGGGCAACAAAGACTCAAAAAAAAAAATTAAAATATGGCTGGGTACAGTGGCTCATGAAGTGCTCTGGAAGGCTGAGGCAGTTGGATTGCTTGAGCTCAGGAGTTGGAGACCAACCTGAGCAAGACCAAGACCCTGTCTCTACTAAAAATAGAAAAATTACCTGGGCATTGTGGTGGGCACCTGTAGTCCCAGCTATTTGGGAGGCTGAGGCAAGAGGATCACTTGAACCCAGGAGTTTGAGGTTACTGTGAGCTAGGCTGACACTATGGTACTCTAGCCTGAGCAACAGAGTGAGATTCTATCT